AGGGGAGTCTTGGAGCAACAGTAAGAGTTACAGTCATGCGACCAGGAGGTCATGGATTCAAAACGTGGAAATAGGAAAAGCAAGGTGAGATTGCATATAATAGACTTAATGTGGTTCGACTCTTCTTAAGATTTCACGCATAGCAGAAGTTTAGTACACCAAACTGTCTTTTTTTATTTATTCATTCTTTATATATTGTAATGTACATAAGGAAGTGGCCTATTCTGAGGAGTTGGAACATTGGGGCTCCTCTAGTGCATTCTTTACTCTAAAGTTACTTTGGGACATCCGATAAAATTGAAACGATATAGAAAAGATTGACATGGTCACTGCGCACAAGAATGACATGAACTAGTAGATAAGTTGATGTGTATATGAAAGATGAGGTTTCATCGATGCAATCTTAGGATTCAAAGTTCAATAAAGCCAAAAAAAATGCTAGATACTTTTTAAATTCACTTAAATCGTGGCAAAAGAAATTGAATGATGAACCTAAAAAATAGATTTCTTGTCTACTCCTTTTCTATTTTCTATCTCATATTCGGTATTTATTTTGGGAGCTAATCGAATTGATCGCATCGGATAAATCCCATTTGGAGGTTACAAGCTCCCCACCAAAGGTGTCTCATTTTCCAAGATTTGGACCCAAGATCTCCGGTTTATAATGAAATTATACCTACCACTTCGATATCCCAACATATGCTTCGAAACTCTAACATGTTGCACCATGTAATTTTTTTTAAAATTAAACACCAATTCATTTGAACGGCAACGAGTGCAAAAACTTCCTCATAAAGTCATTACTATTGCCTATTATTTTTTTAGGAAATTTCATAAATATCAAAGAGACTAAACTTAATAAGCCTCCTTAGATACAATTTATCTAATTACGCTCCATAGTTAACAATTTCGTTTGCTTGGGTTTTTCCATTTCTATAATTCGTTTGTTAATATACAAACACGGTAAGTATATACAAATTCTATATTTATACATTTAGGAATTTTCTAGAACTTATACAAATCAAATGTATCAACAAGTCATATACAAACAGGATAAACAAATCGTATACAAATAGCTAGGATAAATATATACAAATTCTGAATATATACAATTAGAAACCAAATTATACAAATTCTGGACGTGACCCACGTAAATATGGTTATATGTTAGTGACGAAAAATAATTTATTAAAGGGAAAATTGTATATAATAGCAAACTATTAATTCAAATTAAATGCTATAAATATAATTTGATTTAATTGTACCTCATAGCAAATTGTTGCTATTTCACCTCTCTCCTGGTGAATCTCGCTCGCCACTCTCGTTCTCTCCCTCGCCTCTCTCGTTTTTTATACAAACGCAAGTGTATAAAGTGTGTTTGTGTTTGTATAAAGCGAGAGAAAATTGTATATACACATGCAAATACATATAT